CAAGATCCCCCAGACCAAATTGGGAAGAAATCCCTTCATCCCTATGGTAGAAGAAGGATTTTAAAGGTTTACCTCTATTTCCCCTATTGGGCCCCGCCCCTCAGGTCCCATGGGGCCACACACCCCGTTTATACAAAATTGGTTCCTTTTTACCCAAGGATGCTCCACACCAAAAATGGTCCAAATCCTTTCATTCCTACAGAAGAAGAAGCTTTTTAAAGAATATGTTGCTATGTTTCCCCTATTGGGCCCCGCCCCTCAGGCCCCTGAGGGGCCAGACCCACGGTTTATACAAAATTGGTTCCCCCTTCACCAAAGATGCTTCAGACCAAAGATGGAACAAATCCTTCAATTCCTACAGAAGAAGGATTTTTAAGAATTTGCTATATTTCCCCTATTGGGCCACGCCCCCAGGGGAGCCAGACCCACCGTTTATACAAAATTGGTTCCCCTTAACCCAAGGATGCTCCATACCAAATATGGACCAAATCCTTTCATTCTTACAGAAGTAGAAGGGTTTTCAAGAATAATTTGCTACGTTTCCCCTATTGGGCCCCGCCCCTCGGGCCCCTGGTGGGCCAGACCCACGGTTTATACAAAATTGAGTCCACTTGGACCAAGGATGCTCCAGACTGAATAAGGATAAAATCCCTTAAACCCTACGGTAGAAGAAGGATTTTAAAGGTTTTACCTCTATTTCCCCTGGGGGCCAGACCCACGGTTAATACAAAACTGGCTCCCCCTTCACCCAAGGATACTTCAGACCAAATTTATTCAAAATCTACTTGGCCGTTCAGGACAAGTAGCATTTTAAAGGAAAAATTGACGGACGGACGACGGACGCTGCAGTATGGCATAAGCTCACCATGGTTCTTTGGACCAGGTGAGCTAAAAATGAAAGAAAAAAATAAATCTTAGTTTAAAAAAGAACCGTTATTTGGTTAAGATATTTTTGCTTTTAAACCTGATTGGTTTTGCTTGAATAATACTTTTCAGAAGACTGGTATTGCAATAATGAAAAATATCTACATAATGAACATTACAAATTATCTTGTAGTTAAGCAAATACGAGTTTATTATTTTTCAAATTCTTTAAATATATGAATTAGTAAAACATTATTTTTTAACCTATATACAAGTTTGTTCATTCCATGGGTGACCGCATTAACTTGTATGTGTACAAAAACTAACATTTGCCGTACGCTGTCAGTCACACCGGAAACACCGACCGTGTGGCATGTTCACACCCAACACTTGTTAATACGTAGCAGTGCGTACGTAGCGGATACGCCATAACGTAAACACGATTGGCTATCTAGAGTATGCATAATGCAACAGTAGATTGTTCATCAGTTTAACAGTTTACTTAAAAACAGTAACATAATCTATATATTTATATTTACAAAGAACGTGTTTACCTTCTTTATGTTTTTCGTTGTAAAACGTCATACTATTAAAGGTAAAATTCCTGAGCGTTATACGTTATGATGAGTCTACAATGTATAAACGTTCTACTGAACACATGTGCTGTTGATGCTGGATTTCACACTTTAGTAGCTTCCTTGATATTCCCACATTACAGCAAGTAAAGTCCACATCTTGGTAACTATTACTGCAACACTGACAATACCTCCATCAATGATGCAGCTAGAGTTGCTCTCCTGGCGCAGGCTATTCGATAAATATCTAAAGCCCCTTTGTGACCTTCTCAATACTTAATATTTCTCATGTATCACAAAACTACGAATATTTCGGTCTACATCAATAACTAAATTAAGTGATATTTTGATAATACTGACAATATGGTTAAGCTAAGGTCGATCTACGCTTATTAAAAACGCTGAATTTGCCCTATGTTTTACGCTTCAGTGACTTGGTAAATAAGAAGAAATGATCTAATGGATGTTTTAGGTAAAGAAGAATTGTTTTGTCCATATCTTGTACCTATTAGGACTGCATAGATAATACTTTTAACAATAAATTATGTTAACTAATTATCATGTCTTCCAAAAGATTCTTGTAAGTCTAATCTGCCAATAATTTCCTGGATCGGATTTTTTGGACCTTTCTATAAAATGTCTGCGCTACCTGATGGAACAATGCTTTCCTGTTCAGATACACAGTTTAGTGGGCGGCTTACACATAGATGATTTTTTCAGTGCCTGTGGTGAATTAATCAAGTTATCATTGATTGGTGTTATAGGGTATAACGTTCTAACAGCTAAGGTTATCTAAGGACGTGAATTATCCTTTAACTGAAACTTTATTTGTTATTTCCTTAAACGGTAGCTGTATAGGTGATGCTTCCAATGTTTGTATATCTTCATTAAGTTCTTCTGTAAATACACTAATAATACTAAATATCCGTCAAACACATCAACTTTCCCCCTGTTGTCCTTTGCAATGCAATTAATTTAAGTATGAAACTCCTTGTTTACTTTTTCTTTTAAGTTGATATTTCCTAAATTGTTTTTTGCTTTAGTTTGAAAAGCCGGTAATATCCTTTTTCGTCTTGTGACGAATTTATTTAACAATTTTAAATTAGTACTACATTTGTATAATCTTTGTATTTTTGTTTACTTTGTTTTCATGATAAGTCGTAATGTCAGGTGTAACTCGGTTATTACCGTAGTGCCATTACTATTGCCACCTCGTTTAATTTTGCTGGGTTTTGTACACGCTTCGTTGAAAACATCGCTCCAATTTATTATTTTGGTCACCTTTCAAATTGAGTAATTATTAAAAACATAAGCTTTCAATTTCAGCAATTTTTGAGTTATCTTGTACAGATTCTTTTCTGAGGGAACCAGCATTACAGCTAGAATAAATCAAAACCCGATGTTGAAGTTCACTTTTGTTTGGATGAAATGTAATGTTTTACTTCGTTGGTTCTGACATGTATAGTTCTTCTTTACTTTCTAGATAAGTCGTTATAAGCTCATCAAACAGACTTGCTCAACTATCCGTAACTTAATATTACTAGACAGATTCCTCAGAGTGAGGAAAACAGGAAATGTTCACTCGTCTGAAACTCTGATACATAGGAATACATTAAATAACGAATTCCACTTGAACTTTTAATTTCAGGTCTATTTTAAGAATGCCTATATTCACACGGAAAAGAACTTGTGTGTACAAAGTCGATGCAATGTAGAGACCCGAAAAAAGGTAATTTGACAAATAGATGAGTCGACGAAAAATAAGGGCTTTTGTGTCGTAGAGCTACGAGAAAAATAATCAACACCAGTGGTGATCAATTCTACCTTTATCTCCACTTGATATATTGAGATACATCAGTATCAATCATCAATCGGTCACACATCGTATTTTTCTAGCTTCAAACCGAGATGACCAAAGTGCCATTCCCAAAAACCCTGAATGTTGACACAGTGTAAAGTACTAATGGACTACAAACTGACGGGCAAGTAAGTGTATAAATTAATCGGAAAACTCTTCAGGTAATGATTTTATATAAACCTGTTTTGTTCATGATAATTGGGAGCAAAGGAAATATAATATATACAAATAGGGTATTTTTGACTTTTATTCATAATAATGAGTATGAAAGACAAACAGAACATAAGATGAAACAAAACGAAACATGAGGTAACAGTTCTGAGGATCACATGTATAAAAGCTACACTCTGTTTCAGGTTCTAAGTTAAATATATATATGTATTGGACCCTTATTAAAATTCCACTATATTAACCAAAAACATTTGATTAATTACATAACTTTTTCTTCCAAATTATTTTCATTCTTCGTTGCTTTGAAGATAGTTTGTATTCCTGGCCATACATTTTATCATTTAATTACAATTTATCAGACATGGACATATTTTAGATATCCAATTATGCATTTAATTGTTTAGACTTACGAGAGGGTATGTATGTCTACCTCATTTAAGTTAGTGCAGCAGCGAAAATGAGTACTCAAACAACTTAAGGCAAAAACATGCAATTAAAATCCTACAACACTCAACAGTAAAAAGATAAGGCAATCGAGACGGAGAATGTACAGTTTTGTACTATTACAGGGCATCATATTGAAGGTAGTGAAGTTAAATATACTAATGTAATTGACAATTTCTAAACCGTACACACATTGTAAGGAACACCATAAAAGTTCTAGCTCTCAAAAAGTCAATTACCAAAAATTTGTGATAAATACATACAATTATAATAGACAACAATCAGAGCAATTTACAGGTATACATACACAACATGCAAATATGTTTAGTATGTATTAAGATAACAGTTGTACATATATTCATATTAGATAGTATTCATGGTACACAAAATACTGTAAAAGAGAATATTTGCGGTGAGGAAATGCTCACGTTTTTCGTGTTGAGTAAATAAGTGTGAAAATATTCACACGTAAATATTCATAGAAAGATTATATTCATTACTTAGATTTAATAGATTTGAGAACAGTTGCTAACCTGAACATTTCCGTCCCGTGACAACTTTCAAGGGTCACATTAGGAACATTTCCGTCCCGTGACAACTTTCAAGGGTCACAACAGAAACATTTCCATCTCGTGACAACTTTCAAGGGTCACAACAGGAACATTTCCGTCCTGTGACAACTTTCAAGGGTCACAACAGGAACATTTCCGTCCCGTGACACATTCGATCACTCCTCATCTTATATTTGTGTATATAAGACATCTTTGTATTTCTAAAACTGACAACTGAGAAAAAAATGTTGGTCCTTTGATTTCTATGGTGCTCAGTATAAAATTCTAAATGTCTTCCACAACAGATTTGATATATTCTTCATAAATTACAATATTTAGTCTGATTAAAATAAGTCTATTTATGTATTATCACACGAGCATAATGAACCTCTATAATTTAAGGATCCTTGTCCAACTGCACTGTGTTTTTCCTATATACAGTAACCTCCCCTTAACTTACTTAAGGATCCTTGTCCCACTGCACTGTGTTTTTCCTATATACAGTAACCTCCGGATCCCCTTAACTTCCTTAAGGATCCTTGTCCCACTGCACTGTGTTTTTCCTATATACAGTAACCTCCGTCTCCCCTTAACTTCCTTAAGGATCCTTGCCCCACTGCACTATGTTTTTCCTATATGCAGTAACCTCCCCTTAACTTCTGTTTGGATATAATGGTAGAAAAGTTTGGGCAGAATACTTCTGATGACAACGCTGCTCAATCAATTAGAGCAATAGTTTAACAATTTGAGGTCCAGTGTTTAAATCCTGGTCTAGCCCCACTGAAGTTTTACCCTCAAAACACTATTATTGATCATACATGTAGTTTATTTATTTCATTTTTATTACTTTTCATAAAAGTCCTGTAAGGTATGGTTTTCTTTTCAGAAACGTTTTGTCAAAGCCATAGTCATGCTGGGGAAAACAGTTAAGTACAGATTTTGGCAGTGGTTCAGGGATCCTTGAACATTTGACAAAATGTTTATCCCAATGTGTGTAAAATTACTAACAAGAGGTTAACATGAAGAAGGTTACATCTGTAAGTATTTGTTTCCATGAAAATATACCAAGAACAATTACAAGAATATCGAGGTCGCTCTTTAAGTCTAAATATCAATACCGGTAAAATAAGAAGAAAATAATTCAAATACTTCTTCTATATCATTCATAGTTTATATTTGCCTGCATTTTTTCTCATTTGTTGGAGAAGAAGTGCTTTAAACTGACTGTTACTCTCATTTCTTCTGTTTATAGAAGAATATCAATCATTATCTGTATATCTGAAATTCAAACTAATTCTTCTGACAAGATTCACTTACCACTGAAATACTTACGACAGCTATACGAGATAATGGTTATCTGCTAGTATTGTTAGCAGCTTCACAGTAGAGGTATCTTATATGCTTGTTACCAAGAAGGACTGATAGCTGGCCTGGGGTCTGGAGTTAACCAGCGCTTCAGACCCACAGTGATTCATGGGGTCAGGTCCAGTGGCCCCCTGAGCCCCAGAACTCCTAGATGGTTCCGGTCCTTGGCGATTGGAAGGGTTTGGGCCATGAACCAAGGTGTATTCCGAACTGTTGAAAAAAGGACTTGCATTACTCATAATCACTTTATCATCCACTGTACGGAACCTATTTTTGAACTACATATCTAAGTAGAAAGAAAGTTAGAAACAAAAATCATTCATTTAAAGAATAAAAATAAAGTGAGTAAAGGCTCAGATAGATTGTTGGTGCTTTTCTGGAACACGCAATCTTTTCTGTGTTTAGGTTTTTTAAATTGGATGATGAGGGTAAGTCAAATCAAAAGCTATAATTACCTAATGTTATCATATAACCAGACACTTTATCATGTGGTGGACCTACAGGAGAGATTTGTCTTGTCCTGTCCTTAGGCAGTACTTACCTGATATATAGGAATGTGCAATGGGACATTTTATACTGTGGTGCACTAACAGGAGAGAATTGCTTGGTCCTTTCTTTAGGCTATGATTACCTGATGTTAATATATAACAGGACACTGTAGTCTGTGGTAAACCTACAGGATAAATTTGTCTGGTCCTATTCGTAGGCAATAATGACCTCATATGAATAAGTAATGGGACCTTTTATACTATGGTGTACCAACAGGAGAGAATTGTTTGGATCTTTCCCCTAGCTTTAATAGGACTGTGTATGTGGGACCCTTTATACTATGGTGTACCAACAGGAGAGAATTGTTTGGGCCTTTCCCCTAGCTTTACTAGCACTGTGTATGTGGGACCCTTTATACTATGGTGTACCAACAGGAGAGAATTGTTTGGACCTTTCCCCTAGCTTTTATAGGACTGTGTATGTGGGACCCTTTATACTGTGGTGTACCAACAGGAGAGAATTGTTCCGCCCTGTCTCCTGGCTTAAAAAGTCTGGTGCATGTATATGTAATCGGGCCCTTTATACTGTGGTGTACTTACAGGAGGATAGTTTTGTCTGGTCCCATTCTCAGACCTGTGTTGGGACCACTAGTTGGGGTCCTATTGGTGGAGATGGCCCTCGGTTGGTTGATTACAACGTGGTTGCTAGGCTGTGTTTGTCTGCAACAACAATCAAATGTATAGGGTGAACAAATTGATATGTAATGGTGCTTTTTTTACAATTTACAACTTTAACAATATATATATTCTCTGCGTGAATACTTATAATTCATACAAATCATGGGGAGATACTAAAGGACAGTTGTGACACTATTGAGTGTGGCACTGATATAAGAACCTTGACTTCTCTTCCTTTTGTGCTTTACCAAAAGTAAGCTCTTAAACTGACTGAGCTTGGACTGACTGACCATGCCATCAAATTTACTTCAATTTCAACAAATGTCATCTGTTGATTATTCCAAAACATTAGATTAATTATCTTAATGTGGTACACTTCATTTAATTTTTATTTAATACATCCATATTAAATGTTATCATTAATTGTTGTGCAGTAATTATATGTTGCTGTATCTGGTGCAGTCACTAATAAAGAGGCTGAACCAGCTGTATCCGAAGAGAAACTGTGACATTTATAGTAAAACATCTGATGAAAAAACAGAAATCAAATATAATGTCACTTTCGTAATGCTTTGAAGAAAATGAAACGAACTATATAAGTTTCTTTGACCTTAATCTAATAAAGTTGAAAAATAAAAATACTACAGAACATGTATATATTATTGTACATTTCACTTGCATGCCATGTAACTACTGGTTCATGCCATGTAACTACTACTGGTTCACTGTATCTAAACAATATACGGTGATCACAAACAATGTCTGAAATGTGACTTTACACAGCAAAAAGAAAGCACATGAACTTGGCACATTAAGTAATTGCATTAAAGATACAATATTTACCACTGTATAGCATTACTACCAATAACCCTACCAAATTCACATGGCATTCATGTAGACTGTATGTCATGACCCAAGTATTGATGTCATCATTATCATGATGTAATCATTGTAGTATTGGATACCTTTCACCTTCCATAAAAGTACTACTATTCATTGAACAAGCATACACACTTCAGAATTTCAAAAAGCACATTTGAATTTCCAATATATGAAAATACTCCAATAATGGTAAATATAAGGATTGAAATATGTTGATATGGCATTTACAGTCTACATGAATGACACAGCTTTGTAAGGAAACAAATCATAATGCGGTAGGGTGCATTATGATGTTTGCCAGCAAAACTGTGTCATTCATAAAGACTGGAAACGGATTATCAACACAGTTCATACCCGATTCAAATTGACACGTACATGCTGCAGTACAGGCTTCTGCAGTCTAGAAAGACAGGACGAATGATGGAAAACAAATACTGCTGCAAATGATATTTAGAACAAAAATAGAACAAAATGGTCAACATGATTCCAAAGCAGAAACCTGTTCTACTAATTGTGGGTCTGAAGCATGCATCCTGCGGTGTACAGGGAACCTTTGTGATTGATGACTGATGCTCTCATTGATTCTGTTCAGGTTTTTTTCCCCAGTGAATATTCCTCTCTAATATTTTTTTTTTTTTTTTTCAATTGTTTTCACAGTTTAAAGTATCGAGATTATTTTGTTAGCCTTTAAATTGATATTTTACTTTCTTGCTGTTGATCACTGATTATGACTACCAAGGTAATATCAAGTCAAGGGGTGATTGACTAAATATATATGCATGTGTTTTAATCAGGGAGTGACGATATCTGGGCAAAAATGTTGATGCATACCAGGTACATGTACTTATAGCACCTTGATCAACAGCATAATCTATTTCAGAATTTAGAGTTAGCACAATTTACCTTCAGTAACATTTAGTCACTACAAGTGTTCAATGAGAGTTTATGTAGAAATTAATACAAAACAAGTTCTAATTGTAAGGGAGCCTTTACAAATGTCACCAAAATTACCTCCGCAGTTGTAAATTATGCTAATTATGAGAAAATGAATACAAAACAAAATCATGGGACAAAAGCAGACGACAGAAAGCACATGCTTATTGCCATATTGACAATGCCCTGACCTTGTAGAATTAGCACTGACTGTATTCTGACAGCAGACGGTCACTAGATTTGTGAGAAGACTGGCTCTCGTCAACAGTCTCTCACTCATTCTGAACAGCGAGGCAGAAAAACCACAGATGTTTGAGGTAAGTATGTATTTCAAATGATAACCTACATTCAAATATTGCTATGTTAGTGCTGTTGAGACATTTCTGTGGTCTTTCCAACTGGTGAGACAAGGTTTAAGTTTTGGTTGGCATTTTAAAATGTTGTTACTACGGTATAGTCTTGAGATTCAATCGTTGCTGCCATACTTTCTAAATGGCTGATCCAATAATTGGTTTAAAATCTGTATATGGCAGTTTGATATTGGTTTGTTGTAAGTTATACACATTTTTAACTGCTCTGTCAGCATTTCCATTACCTTTCATTCCAATGGAAATTTATTTTGTATCAAATTATGTGATTCTGTATAAAAATGTTTGGTCTTGACACATATTAGACCACAAAAAATATATTTTTCATATTTGACCTCTCACCGTGATATTGACTTCTTGTTTCCAGTCATGATACTGTTACATCCCCACTTATGTAACATAATAGACGTACAAAGTTATAACATCTCTTTAGCTGTTCATCCTCTCAGGCCAAATCACATCTGGTCAGATGACGGATGGATATATATATATACAACAGGAATCTATGATCCTCTTTCTCCTCCAGAGGACCAAAAGTTAAAGTAAAAACAAACACTAATCTATTCATGATTCTCCATTACAACTCTATTAAACTTAAAAATAAAGCCAGTCATATCCACCTTATATCTAAACCCTTTTTTTCTGAACAAAATCTGAGACATTAAAATTGGTCGTACAAAAATTGTACTTAGTATTGGAATTGTGTGTAAAGACATGCAAGGCATTAGTTAGAGGATCTTGGTCTAGATATTTTAATCAGGTTTAAGTGAAGTCTTACTTGGTAACATGTGTTGGTTTATTCCTCTTATGGCCTGGGTGGGTTGTTGCTACAGATGTTGTCTTCTTGGGCTGACCAGATCTGGGCTGACTGGACTTATTACTAGAGGAAGGCCGTGCATCACTTCTTCTATCAATGCACAAAAGCATGTGTTTGAAAGAAAAGTAGTTCGCAAAGTTAAGGACTTGTTTTACTTTGACGAAAATATCATAAGATTCTTTTATATCTGAACATAATGATATTGTAATGAAATTGGACAGGCAAAATTCTCCAAACAATAATATCCTTTCACCAGAAATATAAACTTAATATCAAGATTTTTAATTCATCTCAGTGTCACAAAATAAAAGTTAGCTTTGAAAGATTTGTGTGAGGACTGTATGAGTTTTTGGTATTAAAGCTATAACTGATGTGCATTATGTACTAACCTAGATGAAGGGCGTCCATCATCGCCAAAAGGAACAGGCTCCAGGGATGAAGAGGAAAGAGCAGCTGCTTCTGTTGTCTTAGAACCTGACCTGAAAATATCACAAAAGATTTGTTTACAAAATAAAATGTTTATGAAAACAATTTACCTCTTTGTATTCAAAGAATTCCAAAGCAATATATTTGAACTTTTTTTACAGCCTTCTACACTAGCAAGATATTTTGTTGAATAAGTTTGAATTTTTAACAGATTGGGAATATCTTTAAATGGCTGAGTGAATAGTGGGACACATGTACATCCTAAAACTAAAGCCAGTTTGTATACTGATCCTGATTGATGAAGTCCCTCTATATCAGTGTAGGTTCTTACATTGGACGTGATTGTGCCTTGCTGCCTCCTTTATCATTATCTCCCCAACTTTTCAGTATGATCCTTGCCTGATCCTCCTTGTATTCACAAACATCAAGCGCCATCGTCACCACCACAGAGTCCAGGGCAGGGAACTCTGATTTCAGTTTGGACAAAACTACCAGAAAGAGATACTCATATTAGAACATTTATGTAAAATACAGAGGAAAGTTCGTGTTACAGTATTACGCATTTTTTTTCTTTTTTATATACTGTATATCTGTTAATTTGCAGGGCTAATATTTTACTGTTGTCTCAATCAAAACTAGTAGGTTGATATTCAATTTTGCACAAACTTGTTACGTATATATTTTTCCACAATCTTTGGTAACCGGTGTAGTATGGTATTGTGAAGCATGGTGAAATGAACCATGGTTCACATTACCATAATGGTGAAATGAACCGTGGTTCACATTACCATAATGGTGGAAAGAACCGCCCCATGGTGAAATGAAGGCTACCATCAATTTCTATTCTGACAAACTTTTTTTCTAATGTATTCTATCTGAAAATGACAAAAAAAAGGTCTGGGGTAGAGAAATTTAGGGTGGGGCAGGGGCACTTCACTTTACCATAATGATGAAATGAAGGGTTTTAGCATTTTTTTTCCTATTTGACTTTTTTTTTACAGTTTGATGTCCTGATATGGTAATCACAAAAATTAAGTCTGGGGTAGAGAAATTTAGGGTGTGACAGGGGCGCTTCACTTTACCATAATGGTGAATTATTTTCATATTCGGGACATTGAATTGATGTTAAGGATGTACTCTTCTGAGGTTTCAATCACGTTCAAGTCTCGTTTTGATCTGGTGTAATGGGTTTTTGTAATATTTACCCGTAACAAATTATGATCAAGTTTATTAGCAAACACGCATCTGAAAAATATGTCAAAAAACTAGATGCCTGTTGTTTGTAGAACTTTTTTTAACAAGAATTAAAAAAAAAATTACCGATTCAGCGGCCATTTTGAAAATGTGTATTAATGTGTATTTCTTGCGCTTCAAAAAAGGCCAAAATTTCACCTTTTTTGACACTAGATTGATCACTTAAATTGTCACTTTGTCGCCATTTTTAATTGTAGCAGGTTCAATTTTGGTGTACAACTTTATAATGTTCAATATTATAAAAATAATATGCAACAAATTGGAAATTTTACATTATTGATATTTTTTTACGTATTTAGTGTAACTGAAGCACTTTTGACAAAGGGTAATTGGACAAAAAAAGAAGCACACTGACCCCCCATTTTTGTAGAAGTTTTAGAAAGAGAAACACATTTTCATTTAATTCATTGAATATTAAAAAAAAGTTTAATACCAGAACTTTTTATATCAAGCATTTAATCTGCAAAAAAATGGTAAACAATTAGTATTTTTTCATTAAAAAATAGGGGGTAGGGGTAACTAAAATCGGCTTTCTGAGTTAAAAAAATAAGATTAAGAAATTTAACTTCCATAATTAAAAAGAAAATAATATTTTCATCAGTTCTACAAACATTCATACATATCTGATAACACACTTGGAAGAAATTGTATGAATTTGTTCTGCAAATGGTCAAAAACCAAAAAATCACCTAAAATCACATGTTGTGTTAAATTGGTATCTTTGACCGATCATAGCACAAAAACGAACACACCGACATAAAGTGTTTTTTTGCAATTACTACTATGCCATTAACTCCTTTTTCCAAAAATCCATATAAGAAAAAAAGTTTAATACAGGAATTTTTTGACTTCTCAGAGGTGTACATCCTTAACTAAAACATATTTGGTTTAAAAAAGTCAAATAGAAAAAAATGTATGCTCAAACCCTTCATTTCACCATTATGGTAAAGTGAAGCACCCCTGCTCCACCCTAAATTCTCTACTCCAGACTAAATTTTTGTGATTTTCATATTCAGGACATCAAACTGATTTAATTTAAAACAGATTTGGTTTAAAAAAGTCAAATAGAAAAAAAATGCTTAAGCCCTTAATTTCACCATTATGGTAAAGTGAAGCGGCCCTGCCCTCCCTAAATTTTTCTACCCCAGACTTTATTTTTGTCATTTTCAGATAGAAAACATCAAATTAAAGTAAACTTAAAGAAAATAAATGGAAAACAGTTTGTCAGAATAGAAATTAATGGTAGGCTTCATTTCACAATGGGGCGGTTTTATGGCAATATGAACTGCAATTCATTCACCATGGCCTTCAAATTACCATAATTACACCGGGACTACAGTAAAAATATAATCCCCTGTGAACATTACCAACTGCACAGCACACTGTAAATAACTTTTTGATTAGGTAAATTATGCAGTTTAGAGTGAAGGTATGCCATTTTAGCATTTGTTGGCTAGTTACCCGGAAGTATAGTAAAAAGATTGTCTGAAAACAAGAGTTTCAAAAAGTTTCTGTAACAAAAAATTAAAAAAACACATCTTTGCACTTGCATTCTTCCTTCATCCAAATCACACAATTAAATACATAGCCTAACTGCTTTTACACTAACCATGTGTCTATTGATCAAAGAACAATACAAAACAAAATTAAATCAAAAGTGACTGAAAGAATTCTCTTCCAACTGCTAAAGGAAGGGAGGTAATCAGTTGAAAACACCAACTGTTTTACAGGAGAAACACTTGATTTGCCTACTGGAGAGATCCCTTGACTGCAGTAACTATTTGTTAGCTTGTGCCAAATGTGCCTTTTTCTGAGACTAGTGTGGTGACAACAATATTGCTCGATAGTTTTGGCCAGATATACAGGGTCTTTTTTTACACTAAACTCAAAACACAAAATATTTCTAACTTAAACGTATTCAGACTGATTTTTATAATACCAGTATCTTTTTTTTCATTGATGAACTCTATATGAAATTATTGCTTTGAGATGTTTGATTGAAAATTTTATTATCTTTCATATTCTAAATATTTCTGAATCTGATTTTTGCTGTTTCTTTCACCAGGTGACAGTTTTGCACCTGGCACCAGCTGATTAATTTGACAGGTATAAAGAATGGTTATATTTATAGCAGATTGTCAAACAATAAGCCACAGATGATGATATTTCATTAATAAGATACTATAAAATATGGGTGTTATAGGCTTATTGTGGTTCCCTGTCAAAGAATCATTTGAGGAATTCCAAGCATTGAAAACAATTCTGCCTTTAGTAATTTTTTGGTCTGATGCAGTTTATTGTAACTGGTGTTTTAAGTACATAACATGGGTTACCCATAAATGATACGCTACTTTGATTGGTATGGTTAGAGAATACTAATTTATAGAAATAGATAAGGGTTTCCAAGCCTTAGGTATGGTGTACAATTTGGGGTACTCATCATTTTAGAAACAAATTACTCAAAATTCAAAATTTTGCAAAAAAGGAACCACCATGAGCAGTCTTGACACTTTGTCGAAATCTAATTAACATTTCAAATATGTGATTAGGATTCTTTTGTATATTGGAAAAACTAAAATTTGCACAATTTGGATGGCCACACATTACATACTGGATAAAGTAATTCTTTAATAAGACTATCAACTGCAGTTTGTGTCAGCTGTGTTAAAAACATCCATACTTCTCTTCTTCTCTGCCTCCGATACTGGCTTAGGAGCTGATTTTGGCGGTGTAGGTGACCTTGCAGGAGACCTTGATGGTGACTTGGCCTTCCCCTTAGCAGGTGACTTGGGCCTGAATGCTGGCTGCTCAGTTTTCAAGCTTGAGTGAGAATTAGCTTCACCACCTTTCTGGTAACCCATTCTTGTAAGCATTATCCTGGCCTCCTGCTCATTTAAGTTACACCTGTGAAGGCCAGGATGTGTGGCACATTACATATTGAACATGTCATAATAAATAGTTTATAAACATTGATGTAATTAAAAGGGCAGCCCAACAACTCCATGAAAACAAAACAAGAGCTTGTTTTAAACAAATCTCTGTTCTTCAAACAAGAAAAAGGCCAGGTGTCTCACTTAAAACACAGCCAGTTCCATGTATAATTTCACATTCTCATTTGTAAAGTGTTTAGCGTGGTATCGGGCAGCATTCATTTGCAAATGGATGGAAATGAAAGATAAAAATAGGTAATATTACTATCTTGAAATGTTATAACACAACAATATAATTATTGTATTGATCAGCATTAGAAAGAAGATATTTTACATTTGTTACATGTACTAGTCATAATCCAAAACAGCATCAGTATTTTTGGAAGCAGCGTATTTATCAAAGAGAAAGTAGTGTATCAACATGGACATAGGCAACTTAACCATTTAATCTATATACATCTATATACACACCATATGTAGGATGATTTGGTAGCCATACAAATAACACTGTTGTAATGACCTTAAGCAATGTAATGCAGAGACAACACTAGGATGAGTGAACACTTGGCAAGAATAGAGTCCTGGTAATCTGTTAACTATGTACATGTAAAACCTTTACACCTCTAGTGACTTAAATGTGGCATGTTGTTTCATGGTATCATCTGCAGCATTTCAGCAGTCGTAAGTATAATGACACAGAAAATAAACCAGAAATTCCTTAAAGTTTTAGGTTTAACTTTCAGTCATTATATAATACTAGTATGACAAAGAAAGTTGAGTGTTGAATTTTATAATATATTTAAAATAAGTTGACATAATTTGACTCCTTTAGATTTGATAGCAATTAACAGAAATGGTCCTTATGCCAAAGGGTTGATATACATACGCGCTGACAATGTCTGCAATCGTGTCCAAAGGAACTCGTGGGTAGTCCATATGTATCTTGTTAGCCATTGTATCTTGCTGGAAATAAATTGATCAAAATCATCACCATCATATATACGTAAAATATAATTATAGATTTACTAATCAATTGATGCTGCTATCGGAATAATCAATATACAGATCTAGAAGAACACTTCTTAATTGATTCAAGTAAATTTAAAGGGCTTAACTCTTACCAAACCTTTAAGTATAAGCATGCTGACATACATTTAAAACCTTAATAAAAGTGGTTTAAGGATGTTCCTTTTTATTCGAACACAAGGCGTCCGGGGTTCAATTCCCCAATCGGACTTGAAAAGGTATGGAGACATCTGCCTGTCCACATTGGTTTTCTCAGGTTACTCTGGTTTCCTCCCACATTAAGACACTTTGCGTGTGCTTCCATCCGGGCAAACAATAGCGATTTATATAAGTTAGAAAACTAGTTTCAATTAAATTGTGAAATAAAAAGAGTTGACTTATCCTGTATAATACTTGCTAATACAAAGGCAGGCTTATTTGTGTTGTTATCTGTATAATACTTACTTTGACAAATGTAGGCTCAGTTGAGATTCCAGGCATGTCCTTTGATTTATACAAGGACTTCTGAGGAGGAAATGGTGGTTGAGCAGTCGCTTGTGAGCTGTAGCGAGGATCCTCCCATGATGTCTTTTTTGTTGCATGGTCAATGAAGAAACTGGGGAGTACAATAAATATTATTACTTCACATATACATTTAGGAAATGAAAACCCATGTGTTCAATTATATGCTTCATTCTAAACATATACATTTGTTAACCTATAAAATCCAATGAGTTCTAAATAAATACATATTGCTATACCTATATACTGTTAACAACCTTGTTGGAGATTTAAAACTGATTTAAGTATGCACCAAGTGCACTCCAACTTCAAAAGAAACACAAGTTTATAGGAAGTAATTGACTAGTGAACATGCATGGTTACCTTTAATCACTAGGGCAAAGTTTGGATTGACCCGGTATAAGAGAAAATGTAACTTTTACTTAACACACAAGTGCTGGAGTCACTCATATGCTGTGTATAATTATGTACTATATAGTACATGTATATAGTATTGTGATAGGAGCAGAAAATTAAAATGCATGGCCAGTTGGAGTATGGATTTGTTACTAAAAATAACCCAACTCGCTTTAACAGTAACTTTTGCAATATATTATTAAAAATCACATTAATTTACGACAAGGTCAATAATATTTTGCTAGAAGACGTTTACTGAAAGTGTTGGCTTCTTAGAAACTTGAAGTAACTCGACCGAAGTATTGCATCTATTTGGTACTTTCCCACATGCAAATAAGTTTTATTTTTGCATTTGTATGATGTTTCATGAGTAAATCAATGCGACTTGGACAAACAATTTGAAAAGATTAAGCTTAAAGTGATTTTGGCTATTTTAAGTAACAAATCCATACCACATTCGGCGTATAATAGGCGAGTTTGCATATTATACACAAGCACAGGAGCCTGCAGTTCTGTCAATAATTAATAATAACAGTAATATTAATTATTGACAGAACTGCAGGCTCCTGTGACGCAAGTTAGTGGTTTTCCTCGAACTCACTGTTAAAGCCATTTTGGTCTCTGTGAAGAATAACATATAGATAGATAGATAGACCAACCCTTGAATTAAACGACTAGTCCGGTGAAGAGGAACTAGTAAGTTCCTGTACTGGAAATCAACTATAAGTGATTTTAAGTATTGTGAAATAACCTGTTAAACATTTGGTTACAGTTTAAGTGAAATGTACCCGATGTACAGTATTTTATCTATTAATTCCATCGCAGACGTTTTCATTTCATTTTAATTTAATAGAAGTCTCATTGAATTGGGTACCGAGATATTAGAAGCAGCTGTTCTTTATTTATATAACAATGTACGACTTTGTTGTTGTTTACTTTCAGTAGAAACACTGTGTTTTGGCTGTCAGCAACAGTGCGCAACATTACTGTAGTAATTTAACGGTGACAGATGTTAGTTTCCCATACGCACATATTCATACACTTGATTGGAGTGATGTGGCATATTATATACTTACTATGTACGTTGGTTGGCGTCCCAGCGACCTTCCCATCCCGGGGGTAAGGGCGGGATCCATTTGGTTACATTTGGGTTGGCCATCTTGCTACGAAACTTTAATGACCACACACCTTTCGGTACACAACATTCCGTATTTCAAAACGATAGAAAATGATTTCGACTGGGTTCATACGGTATGTTGTCAATATTTCGAGTGTGTTCGTTTACAGCCTTCTAGTACGGTCCCGTCTAATATGCCATTTTCTAAATAAAGCTGCACGACGCACTTTACAAAATTAAGAGCGAGTAACCAGTGTCTATATATGCAGAAACTTGTCGTCATACAACCTTCAAAACGGTTTTGGGGGATAGAACATGTTCAAATACATTTTGATTGTTAGGAAGATGAATTAAAAAACCCACATGTAACGTTAATGTCAAAATAAACTTATATCATATATGGCCCTATGTTTATGAAGCTGAAAATGAAGAAATGTACCTTAAAGAAGCTTATACATATGTCTTAGAAGGATTAAGTAATCAATGTTGTCCCTATGGCTAGAACTGGTAGAGTTGTCTCCCCTATACCACACAAGAACTTGATACATTTATTTAACGTCTTCTACCATAAACATACAAACATAAGCTCGGTAGAGCTATTTCTGCGAGAAAAAAAATGTCATTTCTCTGTCGGTTTCTGTATGTTCCCTATATGGAGCTTTGTTGAGTTTATAAATTTCTTATCCTTTCCTTACGTCATAAGAACCAAACAGTTATCAGTATTATATACATACACAATAATAATAATAATAATAATAATAATATTTATTCGGTAAAAGCAAGATACAGGTACAAATATCACATAAGATCACAGATTTCAATTGCATAATAATCACAGATTTATCACAGTATTTAGCTTATCACATCAAAGTTAATATCACAAATTTTGGAGCACTATAATTACAATGTATCTGTTTGACTAAGCTTTAACCTAGGATATCCCATGAAAGCTGGGTGGCAGCTTATTTCCAATGGGGTCAGCTTATTTCCAATGGGGTCAGATACACATATTTATTCTGATAATATACATAAAAAAACATGAACAGGTTTTATAGTTAATAGCTTACTTTTGTCTTTAAATCAATATTTTAGTCGTCATTTCCCCCCAATTTTCACCGAGTTCATGCTCGAATGGTCTACCTGTCATTTCGTTAGTCTACCTGTCATTGCATTTGTCTACCTGTCATTGCGTTAGTCTACCTGTCATAGCGTTAGTCTACCTGTCATTGCGTTTGTCTACCTGTCATTGCGTTTGTCTACCTGTCATNGTCTACCTGCCATTGCGTTAGTCTACCTGTCATTGCGTTAGTCTACCTGTCATTGCGTTAGCCTACCTGTCATAGCGTTTGTCTACCTGTCATTGCGTTCGTCTACCTGTCATTGCGTTTGTCTACCTGTCATTGCGTTTGTCTACCTGTCATTGCTTTAGTCTACCTGTCATTGCGTTAGTCTACCTTTAATAGCGTTAGTCTCCCTGTCATTGCGTTAGTCTACCTGTCATTGCGTTCGTCTACCTGTCCTTGCATTTGTCTCCCTGTCATTGCGTTAGTTTACCTGTCATTGCGTTTGTCTACCTGTCATAGCGTTTGTCTGCCTGTCATTGCGTTTGTCTACCGGTCTTAGCGTTAGTCTACCTGTCATTGCGTTAGTCTCCCTGCCATTGCGTTTGTCTACCTGTCATAGCGTTAGTCTACCTGTCATTGCGTTAGTCTACCTTTAATAGCGTTAGTCTACCTGTCATTGCGTTAGTCTACCTGTCATTGCGTTTGTCTACCTGTCATAGCGTTTATCTACTTGTCATTGCGTTTGTCTACCTGTCATTGCTTTAGTCTACCTGTCATTGCGTTAGTCTACCTGTCATTGCGTTTGTCTACCTGTCATAGCGTTTATCTACCTGTCATTGCGTTTGTCTACCTGTCATAGAGTTTGTCTACCTGTCATTGCGTTAGTTTACCTGTCATTGCGTTAGTCTAGCTACCTGTCATAGAGTTTGTCTACCTGTCATTGCGTTAGTTTACCTGTCATTGCGTTAGTCTAGCTACCTGTCATAGAGTTTGTCTACCTGTCATTGCGTTAGTTTACCTGTCATTGCGTTTGTCTACCTGTCATAGCGTTTTTCTACCTGTCATAGCGTTTGTCTACCTGTCATTGCTTTAGTCTACCTGTCATTGCGTTAGTCTTCCTGTCATTGCGTTAGTCTACCTGTCATTGCGTTTGTCTACCTGTCATAACGTTATTCTACCTGCCATTGCGTTAGTCTACCTGTCATAGCGTTTGTCTACCTGTCATTGCGTTAGTCTACCTGTTATAGCGTTTGTCTACATGTCATTGCGTTTGTCTACCTGTCATTGCGTTTGTCTACCTGTCATAGCGTTTGTCTACCTGTCATAGCGTTTGTCTACCTGTCATTGCGTAAGTCTACCTGTCATAGCGTTTGTCTACCTGTCATTGCGTTTATCTACCTGTCATTGCGTTCACTGCGTTCAGTGTGATGCTGTTCCACATGTCAACGGTTTTCTATGTTAACGAATATTTTCTTAAATTTAACCTCATATGCTCTATATATTTTGAAGAGTTATGCCTTACATGTTTGAATCTTCTTNCCCCCCCCCACACACACACACATTTATGGATGGAACCCTATTCACCAGTTCAACAAAAAGTTCAACGAAGAGCATATAATAATATAATAAAGGGTATACTAAACTCATCTGTTATTACAAAAAGGATGAAATCCATCCATACAATACATAAGAAAAAGAGCAGACATGATACAAATATTTAGAATAATAAAGGGAATTGACAAATTAGAGCAATATGGAATTTTTGATATCAGGGGACACAACTTCAAAATTAAAAAAGCCTACACACAGTACTAAGACTAAATATCAGAAACAACTGCTTCGACGTGAGAGCAACTAACCAGTGGTCAGTGAAACAGCCTGCCAGAAAAAAAAATGTTAACAGTGATACAATTAACCAATTTAAAAGTAGGTTAAATAGGCATTGGAGAGACTACCAATGAAGTTCAACCAAACCTGATTGTGAACAAAATTATAATAAAAGTGGAGAAGGAGAGAAAAAATGAACGTGGAGGAATTTACACTGTAAATAATAAGGTAAAAGACATGCATATTATGTAAGAAGAACAATGTAAGAGTTGTAGTTGAAAAACAACTCTGATGACCGCACACTAATAACGATAACAAGATTAGGGTTAAAATACTGAGAAGGCACAACCTAAACAAATCCAAGGTCAATAAACGGGAACGTCTAACATAGACCGAATCATGTTGGTAGGTAGGTAGACTGCTTTGCTATTTCCCGGCAATTATACACCACGTAATCTTATGCTGGTAATCTTAATTTCTTTAAATGTTCCGTGTAAGATGAGCTTATTTCGCTGCTCGACGTTGACCATTTTCAATTGCATTTATACGTAGAACAGAAAAGATAGTACTGTGCTTCCACCAGGAATCGAACCAATGACCCGCAGCTTCCAAGTCCACTGCTCTTGAGCTAAAAGGAATTTCCCTCTAACACGAAGTTAGAAGGCGACCGTAGTCCTATGAACAATTCAAACTGCTAGTATGTTTTCTAAATTGGGGATCCAACCTTGATTTGTATACTCAATTTGAGGTTTAACAAACGACGCACACAACAGTTTTAAATTATGGATGTTCACGTATTCCATTGGTCTCCTCAGTACGCCGATAATAAAATTTGCTTCATTAATCTTTTCGCATATATGTTTAACAAACGTTAGTTTTACATTGATGGTGACTCCATCATCTTTTCCGAGTCCAATATGAGTATAGTTGTAACGGTGATACTGGTAAAACTTTCCTCCTGGGTCTAGTTGAATCTATCAGTGTTTGTGTTTCCACGCGCATCATTTTACATTTGTCTGGTTGGAAGTGTAACTGCCAGAAGATTTCGGGCCATTCTTGTAGTGAATAATTGATTTATTGTTCTGGACGTTTTTTTGTCTTCAGCGAAAAGGTAAGAACCCGTTCCCGCTCTTATTTCAGTTGTCATATCATTTATATATAATCCAAACAGAAGTGGTCCTAGCACTGATCCACGTAAAATACCGCTCATTACCGGATTATATGGAGACTTTTCTCCGTTTATAACGACTCTTTGCTTCTTACCAAGCAAGAAAGCTTTTATACAAAAGGCAAATGTATGAGCATACCTTTTTGTAGCTTTCGACTGAAGGATCCCGGTACCACAGCCAAAACCTGCAACTTCACAATGGGAACGGTTTTTCTGGCATGACTATAGCTTTGAGAAATCATATCTGAAAAGAAAATCTTACATTGCAGGACCTTTTTTTATCAAAATAATAAAGATGTTAATTATACACATGCTTTAATGAAAATGGGCTGAATCGGGATTCGAACCCTGGAATTCAAATTGTTATAATACACACTTACCAACAGAGCTACCTGGTCAATAGAAGTATCCTGGCCCAACTGTGCTACAGTTATATCCATAACGAATTTAGGTGGAGGTTACTGATTATATGAAAGACCACAGTGCAATGGGAGAGAGATCCTTCAGTATGTGCTGAATTATAACCTGTTGCCCAATCATCGTTATTCCAGAAGTTACAATTTTGTACGCCCCTTTCGCTCTCTGCGTCCCTAGACCAGACATATTTGAATATTGATTCCCTTTACAGTGGCGTACTTCGTGGTGATAAACTACCCATGACATAAGATACAACAATCTTCTCCGTAGATGTATGCTACTTTTCATAACCCTGTCATCTTAGTTTTAATAGATGCACACGTACGCTCGGAGTTGTCTTATCTTGACGACAAGTGTGCCGGAAAATTCAGATTCCCCAATAATAGACACAAGGTTGCTTCCCCTGAAACGGTCTCCCGTTGCATTCCTCATCACCCTGTCAATTGCTTCTAGGAACAGAGGTGTGTATCTTTTACGGACTCTGAACTCAATTCTAAGCCACTCTGTTGTACTGTTGTTGAGGAGTAATGCGCAATAAAGTTAGTTGTAGATTGACCTGATGATGTTCAATACACTGCTTGGCATTCCATATTCCACAGTCCGTCTCGTTGAATGCTATCAAATACTTC